CGATGACCCAAGAGATGGAGAAGGCTCGCTGAGGGCAGAGGCGGAATCGATGATACCGAAAGGATTGTACATCAGACCCGATTTCGCTGAAGTGAGGGAAGATGATGAGAAGGACGATTGGCGAGATCCGCCCGTCGAAGTTGTCGAGCCGAATTGGGGGGATGGAGCAGATAAGAGGGAAAGGGTCACTTGGCTCGGTCATGCCGGGGTGCTGGTGCAGATCCCTTGGAAGGACGGCAAGGAGGGTACTTGTGGTGTGATCTTTGACCCGATCTTCTCGTATAGGTGCGTTGCGCTGCGCTTTCTCGGTCGGTTTCCAGATCCAGCTGTGAACAGATCATCATACCTCGAATCGAGGAAGCGAACTGTATTGCTGTCGGTCTCAGGCTGATGTCCAGTTCGTTCACTTCAGATGCTCTCCGAGCCAATATGTCGGTCCGGCAAGGTATCTTGATCCTCCATGCCCCGTCTCGATGCTGCCGGAGATCCACGCATGCTGTATCTCGCATGACCATTGTGAGTGCATCATCATATCCACATGACACCCAGCACAGCACAATACAGCGAATTGATCAAGAGCACTACTGAGGGTATTCCACCATTTCCTCTCATCTCAGACGATCACCTGGATTACTATACGATCATGGATTTATGGAAATATCACCAAGCTACGATCCACTTCTTTGTACCGATGGGTGAGCAGGTCAGATACCTCTCCTTACCATCTTCCTCTGCTAACCTGCACACGCCCTCGCAAAATCTTCGAAAGGCTCTGTGCAGAGATTGCTGACAACCGGGCACCATTCGTCACTCGATGCGACTCGGATACGTCTGTTCGTCTGTAGGCTTGAAACAATGGTTCACGTCCTCCGGCATCCCAGGGCACAGGGTGACGGAGCTCGATTGGTGGCATGAGACGCTTCTGACTTTCCCGACCGAGGACTCGCGATATCGCGACGCCTCTTTCGACGCTGGCGCCGATGTCAGTCAACACAACGATGACACTTATCCTCCTTCCACCGGTACGGAAGATGGTGATCCTCGCTTATCGACGGAAACAGACTACACCTCCCCGTCGTCTTTGTCTATGAAGCTGGCGTTTACACCAGCGCAACATCGATCAGGGCGAGGCGTGTTCGACCACATGACGACTTTATGGGGAAGCTGGTGTCTTGGTGTGGTTGAGGAAGAGGACAAAGCGCTTGTAGGGAAGAGAGGGATGAATGGTTGGAAGGGATTCAAGGTCTTTTTCGGGGGGTAAGTGAGGGCTATCCGTTGATATGTTCAACTACCTGGCGCATCCTCCTGCTTTTACTTCATCGAGGGTCGATGAAGTCCACACGCGCGCGCGCAAACAGAAGCACGGAGATAGCTGAAACGGTGGTATCATCTTATGTCCCGGCTCTTTCCCAGTGATACTGGATATCGATATGCGACAGCCGTGGAGGGGGACGATACGGCCATCTGCCCTGCCTTTGAACGTGAGCGTCACTCTCATACTGAGACTTCCGTTATCCCAGATCAGAGTCAACATCACGGAGCGCGAAGCGTGGCAGCTAACAGCTAACGCTATTGCTTCACGACCTCTTTTGAATGACTCGTGTCAGATATCGCCGAGCAATACTCTCCGTTCAATCTCTCATTATTACCACTATCGACCGGTTCCTCCTTACCATTCCTGCGGACCGTCCTCTCCCTCTCGCTAGACCAATATACCCTCACCTCATCATTACACTGTTCTCCTGCCGATTCGCTAGAGATACATCGGATAATCCGGGCAGAGAGGAGCTTGGGCATACACTGGGGTACGTTCTGCGATGCAGACGAGGCGAGAGGCACGAGAGTCGACTTTGGGCGATGTAGGAGACGCGTGGGCGTCTCTGGCGCGTGGGAAGATCAAGATGATGGTGCGACAGCGGAGGGGAGGTTCGTTGTGGGTGATATTGGTCAGACATTCGTGTTGCCCAGTAGGAAGGGGTGATGACGAATGAAACTGTATCTCATACAAATGGACGATCGTTGAGTGTAGAGTCCTAAGACTGTAGACGGATAAGGAGTAAGGTCAAATACCCCAAGGATCCCAAGCGAGGTGGTATACATACGTAAAATCATGACTTATACACGGATTTTGTTACAACGATGCATATGACATGACGAGTACGGTGCGTGTGGTTAAGTGGACAAATGGTGATACGGTTGATGCACAACCAAGCGATTCTGCTGTCGCCTCTCGATGTTACACTCACTCATCAGAAGAAGGCGAGATGGTGAAGAGTCCGATTTTACAAGCGAGCATCCGTCGTCCCGTCCTTCGTACGGACGATGAGACTTTGGACGCGCGAAGTCAAGTGGAAAAAGCCCATTCAGACATTACCTGCCCCTAGACGCCAATTCCTTCTTCCTCTTCTCCTTGGCGAGCTTCCTCTCCCTCTCTTCCCTCTCGGCCTCTTCATCCTCCCTCCTCGCGATTCTCGCCGCTCGCCTCTCTTCGACCTCTACATCGCTCAGACCAGCCTCCATATCGCTCGACCCATCATCCGATATATCGTCAGCGTATCCCCTCGAGGGTAATGGTGGTCGACCTGGACGGCGGAACATGGCTTGAATCTCCGCCGAGACGTCGAATTGGGATGAACGCTCGTTCAGCCTCAGAGGCGGAGATCTAGACCGACCTCGGCCCCGTCCGTTAGAGTAAGGGTCGTAGCGTTTCTTGCTAGGACGAGGAGATGAAGACGAATACGAGTCAGAGTCAGAAGCGGAATTGGATGATGAAGGGGATGGCCGTCTCTTGAATGATGCTTTCGCATTAGCAGTAGTAATAGCAGTTGTTGAGGATGGTATAGGTCTTCCTCGGTCGTCTCGTTTTGGCGGACGCGGTGGTGGTCTGATCCCAGGTTTCGTCGCTGAACCGTTCGCACTGGCTTGGCCGTATTGCCCTCTCTCAGGCGACCGCTTTGGACCCCTCTCCCTATCTGTTGCAGGTCCACCCGACAACGCTTCATCTCCACCAGCACCCTTCTTCGATCTGGCCTTTATGTCCCTCTGAATCTCCTCGATGGACCTTCGGTCTCTCGTAGCTCTATCAGGACACAACTTCCTCATGCCTTCAGCTTGGAATTGCGCTCTCAGCTGATCTCTGACGCTTCCCTTCCCTTTCCCTTGTACCATGGCCATAGCTCTGGGATCTTTCTTCAGCCCGTTGGCCATCCCTATCCCGTGGACAGCGATCGTCGGCGCTGAAGCACCGCCAGGTCCGGGTCGATTGGCACTAGCATTTGCACTACGGTATGAAGAGCCTTGCGCAGACAATCGAGAAGGTCCAGCTGACGGTGATGGACCAGGCGAATCTCGCGACTCGACCAACGCTCTAACGGAGAACAAACTATCCCCCGCAGAGCGTTTAGCCTGCTGTGCAAAAGCCTTTGCAGCTCGCTCCTTGCGCCCAAGGGGTGGAGGAGAGATATCCTTGTTCTTGGATGATGAAGAGGTTCCGGTTAAAGTTGTAGACGATTTGGTCTTTGGCTTGGAGGAGGAGGGGGAGGATGCTGAAGGACCGGGGTGGGATTGTTTGGAGGAGACTTGGCGGGCGTTCGGAGGTAGTTTGAGTGTCGGCTGAGGAATGAGAGCATTACATTTGATGCTATGTCAGCGAGGTAGCCCAGTGAGACCGTACAGCACCCCGGCCAACATTCCGCGAGACCCCTCCTTCTGCCCGAACGAGGCTGCGCTCCTACTTCTGACGAGCCTCTCACTCTTTCTCATAGAAAGGGGCCAACGCAGCTCAGCGTGATGTTTGCCTGAACTACTCACCTTGATTACGACCGGCGCCCTCCTCTCATCCTCCGCAAATGGGTTATACTCCATATCATTAAGACGTCTATTTCGCTCATCGTTCTTCTTATTCAGCGCTTCGTTGGCTCTCATCAGTTCTTGCCGGCGTGCCTCTCTCGCAGCTGCTTCTTGACGTTGGCGGCGCTGTAGCCGAAAGAAGGGTGGCGCAAATCAGTATTCCGACGCTGCATGAGAGTAACTCGAGCCGTTCGAACTGTGCGTTATATAGCAAGCATAGCCTGGCGAGCTTGCGTGAAAGTGTCAGCGAGAGGGCGATGGTGATCAGCTTACCTCTTCTTCCGCTTTGGCGAGCTGCTTCTCCCTTGCCGCTTTAGCGGCCAATTCCCGCTTCAGCTCTTCCTCTTTCTCGCGCTGCAACTCCAGTGCACGCGCTTTTCGTGCTTGATACTGTGACGGCACAAGCGTATGCCAGCATCAGCATACAGCAGAGCAGCCCATATTGGGTGAGAATCTGAAAGATGTGATGTGGTGCGGTGTTGCTGCACTTACGTCGGACATGCTGTGCTGAAGGACGTATATCAGCCGGGAGATGTACACGATTCGTGCGGTGTCGTGTGATGTGCGGCGAGGTGCGGGACGAACTTCAGTCAATGTTGGAAGATCACAGCTCCAACCCGCTGCAGTTACGAATTTCGATAGCACATCGGTATCGACCGAGACGAGACGATCGGCGTGTATAGAATAGCAGGAAAGTATGGATGGAACAATGGGGAGTTGAGAAACGAGAATTGACGATGATGATCAAGGATTGAACGGAAAGACAAGGTCAGCAACGTCACTCGCTCACTGGACACGACCCGCGCACTGCGTCGAATCCGGCCATAGGCATCAGTCAGCCGAAGTGGCACGACTGTATTCTTGTCAAGGCCTCATTACACCATACACATCATCTTCCAGCGAAGCTGACAACACGCATGTATGCAGCCATTCTTTCATACTGTCCGGGACGCTTAGCATACGATTGGGCATCAAAGAGCTTTCAGTCGTCTCAGTCTCGTGTATCCATCCATTGAAGGAGACCAAGCCGTGGATCTCCCAGCGGAACATTATACGAGGGATCTCGATGTTACAGAGCGCCCTCAACTGTCTGAATATGCTTGCGTACAACAAGTGGTTAATTGGAACTACTTGGACAATCCCAAAAAAACTGCCTCGAGGGCGATTTGAACGCCCGACCCTTGCATTTGCCTCCATGGAATCGTAAAACCCATACAAGTGCAAAATCATAACCACTAGACTATCGAGGCCGCCGTAAATTAGGTGGTCTAAAACTTGCCGATTACATTTCATATATATACTCTGCTTACTTTCACGAGCGCGCGTAGACCCGGTTAACCCCTGTTATCTAGTCTTTGGTGGGCCGGCCGGAACATGTTTTGCTCGTAACCGCGCTTATAAAGCTCGTATTGACGATGGAACATGAGTTGCACATGCTTCTCCACTGATACAGATCTGCACACTAGCTGTTCCATGTCCAGCTGACTAGCTACCTATAGCTGCCTCTGCCTCTGACTCGACTCTTCTCGTCGCCTATCGCCTAGAGCTATACCTGGCCTATTCGTTCGGACAAAGGCGAACACGACGTGTGTGATGATGCGCGCATACTCGTTCACAGCAGCGGATTGGTGTAACAGGGACTCTACCCTCCTGGTCCAGATAAGAATGGAAGCTCAGCATCCTTTGTCCATTCCATCACTCAACTGTCCTGATCACTCAACAGTATCATCGTATAAACTACACCCGCTCAGCGACATTCTCAGATAATCCATTCCGTTGCATCAACGTCGGTCGCGATTAGCCTTGACATCACTATCACTGTCTCAAACAGTCCCTTACAACTTCTGACGAGTTCACGAGAATATGCTTCCTCTCGTTGGCACATCCAGACTAGCAGCAAGTCTACGTACTATCCAGTCTCGATCCAGCTACAGGCGATGCTTGACCACGCTCGGTCTGCGGCGAGAGGACCCGACGAGAATATGGGAACGTCGAACCGCTCTTACGCCCGAAGCTGTCAAGCAGTTACTGGATGAGCAAAATAGTGGAGGTAAGACAAAGCTCAAGGTGGAAGTGGAGAGCTGCCTCAGGAGATGTTTCCCGGATGCGCGATACGCGGAGGTGCGCATGATGTCCCTCCACCGCGCTGCGGTTATTCCTCCGGGTTGTGGCTATACAGAAAGAGCTGACTGTATGCGTGCAGATTGGCGCGACTATAGTGCCAGCTTTGTCGAAAGATGCAGACGTGGTCCTCGGGATCAAAGAGCCTCCCCTCGAAGACGTACACAGACTTGTCAAATCCGGAGACGGTGATGGTAAGGATAGAAAATGGATGATGTTCTCGCATACCCACAAGGGTCAGGTGAGTGTTCGCCGAGCTCTCATATTCGATATGACACCGACTGATGTGAGGAGGAACAGGCCTATAACACCCCTCTTCTGGCTGCATTCCTCTCTCCTACCCTAGGACAGACCTTGATAGACCATGAGCTGCTCACCGCACCGTCTGTGGGGAAGGATGGAAAGGAGACCAGGAAAAGGGTAGCAGCTTTCGGATGGTACGCAGGAGGTCAGTATGGTATAAACAACACCATGCCCTCGTCGAAGAGGCGACGCTGATGGAGCTGGCGTGAACTGTAGCCGTCGGAGCTGGTGAAGCCTTATCGATGACAGGTCTGGCGTTGTTGAAACGAGGGATATCATCACCCCTCTTAGTGAGTACCCCTCATCGGTGATAGTCGTGGCCGTCTACGTTGTGTACTGATGCTGATATCTGTGCAGCATCTGCCTCGACCATATTCCTCTGGCACACTCGACGACTTCAAGGCGTCCTTAAGGAGGTGCGGGCAGATCGTTCGGTCGTCACCTCCAAGCTCCATGGGCAAGAGTGGACCGATAGTCATCGGCTTGACAGGGTGAGTCCAGTGCCCTTGGCCTTCAAAGCTTTCGGCAATCGTGCTGACTCGACATAGGCGAGGCAACGTATCCACCGGTGCCGAGGCGATGTTGAACGAGCTCGGCGTGCAATGGGTCAATTCAGAGGATTTAGCGAGTCTGAAAGATACAGGTGAGTACAAGTTGGCGACTCACGAATCTTTTCCTTCAGCTGATCACAACTCACCATACTGCAGCTACAAACAAGGTAAATCTGTCCACCTGCTCACCCTACACCAGAGTCTATGCTGATCAGGTAGTAGATTTACGCCTGTCTGATCACGCCTCAATCGTACTTCGTTGGTGAAGATGGGTCCCCATACGATAGGGAGCGATACTACAGCTCTCCAGGGAAGTACAAGAGCATGTTCACAGAACGGGCGAGTAGTCTTGATCTGCTCGGTCGATCACGCTCTCAATCAGCTAACATCGAAACGTTACAGATCGCACCTCATCTCACCACCATCATCAACGGCGTTGGATGGTCGAGTAGATTCCCCCGTACGATGACTAACGACGATCTTAGATCACTGATAAGCTCAGCTGGAGGTAAACAGAAACTGGTTGCAGTTCAGGATGTGACTTGTGACAAGGAGGTGAGCAGTAGCGGGCCGCAGCAACTACGCGCAGCACTGATGGTCCCCGTCGAACCAGGGGGGTTTCCAGTTTGTCAATAAGTTCACTACAATCGATGAGCCATATTGCGAGGGTCCAGGTGGTATTCTTATCAGCAGCATCGATATCCTCCCCACTGAGCTGGGTGAGTGCACTTCTCTTCTTCACGGCGAAGAGCCGTGAGCTGCCTGAGGCTGACGGTACATACCAGCTGCCGACGCCTCTACACACTTCTCATCCAAGATCCTACCCCTCGTACGCCGAGCGTTGTTCCCAAACGTGAAGGAAGGAGACGTTGCTCAAGAGACCGACACTCTACAACGAGCGATGATTGTGAGCGACGGGCAGTTAACGGCGGATCACCAATGGCTAGGGGGACCGGTGCAAGCCTGGAAAGGGAAGACTTCGCCATTGACAGGACAATCGGACAGCATTAGTGTCGAACAGACGACTCAGAGAAGCGGCGGAAAAAAAAAGGTATTGCTGCTTGGCAGCGGTCTCGTTGCAGGACCAGCAGTAGAGGTATTTGCCTCTAGACCAGATGTCCATTTGGTAATCGGTGAGGTCGATCGGAAGCTGAAGCAGGCGACGGAATGTGAGCTGATATCTCTACTTCAGCGAGCAATAACCTTTCTGAGGCTCGAAGTCACGTCAAGGACCGATCCAGTGTGGAGGCGATTTCTCTCGACGTAGGCGATGAGGTGGCAGTGAGCGAAGCAGTGGCCGCTTCGGACGTTGTCGTGAGGTATGTCAAGTCGACTGACCACCCCAATCGAGATCATTCGTCAAGCTCCGCTGACGGTGTTTTGACCATAGTCTGCTACCGGCTCCGATGCATCCTCAAGTCGCCAAGCACTGCATCAATCACGGCAAACATCTCGTGACAGCTTCATATGTCTCTCCCGAGATGAAGTCACTCGATCAAGCGTAAGCTCACTCTAACCTCTCAGTCCGAGTAAGTCATGGACAGCTGCTAAGAGCATGAACAGCGCCAAGGAGAACGACGTTCTGCTTCTCGGTGAATGCGGTTTGGATCCCGGTATCGACTCGATGGCCGCTATGCGGATCCTTGATAGGGTGAAGCGAGAAGGCAAGCAGGTGACCTCGTTCGTCTCATGGTGTGGCGGCCTACCGGAATTATCAGCAAGCAATGTGAGCTAGCCAAAGTCCGACACCGCCATTAAGCTTCTTCTGAGCTGTACGATGAGACGAGCTAACGCTGATGAGTCGCTCTAGGTACCGCTGCGATACAAATTCTCGTGGAGTCCGAAGGCAGTATTGACAGCTGCTCAGAACGATGCGCACTTCAAGTGGGACGACCAAGTCAGTCACAACGGTGTATAAATCACCAAGAGCGCTCATTCCGCTGACAATATGCTCTAGATCGTCACTGTACCTGGCAAAGAGCTGCTCAAGCGCCATTTCCCATCCGTCAGGTTATGGGATGATCTGCCCCTCGAGGGACTAGCGAATCGAGACTCGATGCCTTATGCTTCCAAATATGGACTAGGCGAGGTCGGGGGCCTGACGAACCTGTTCAGAGGGACTTTGAGGTGAGTAACTTCCCGACACAATTACGAGGTGGTCCCGTATGCTTATACAATGCTTCTTCGGCCTTTCAGGTATCAAGGCTTTTCCACCCTGCTAGATTCGTTCCGGCGATTAGGTCTGCTCCGCTCTGACACATTGAAGACGGTGCCGGATAGCTGGGAATCATTCCTGCTTGCTACCGCGGGTCGAGAACTCAACCATAGCGGTGTGTTGAGCCCGGGCGATCTGCCGGGCATTATGCGAGATGTATTGGGCAGTAAGCAGGCTAACGAGACGGTTGAAGCCTTGCAATGGTGAGCATACACGGGATGTTTGTGCATGGCATTCGCAGTCCCTCGATCGCTGACGAATCTGGTCTCCTCCGTCATTGATCTCGCAGGCTGTCTCTTGTACCCGCTTCGTCGCCATCGACTTTGCCTATTCCGAACCTTCGCGCCCCAGTCCCGATCGACCTCTTTGCCCACTTGCTCTCGCACAAGCTAGCCTACTCACCAGGCGAGAGAGATACATGCTTGCTTCACCATTCTTTCACCTTGAGCGACCCCCAGCTACGAAGTCAGCAGGAAGTGACAGCCTCACTGCTGTGTTATGGTGACGACAACGCGTCAGCGATGAGTGTGACAGTCGGCAAGACTTTGGCGTTTGCTGCTCTCAGAGTCGCAGATGGTCTCGTACGACAACGAGGGGTGACAGGTCCGTACGATCGAGAAGTGTGGGAAGGAACCCTGGCAAGTTTGGAAGAAATAGGTGTGGTCGTGGAGGAGACTTGGTCATGAGCTGCGAAAGCTGTGCGCGGAGCGCAAGAGTCATTGAATCGCACTAGGATATTAGGACCTGATGCATAGAGTGACATGTATGATATAACGCTTCTTTCTCTGCCGATCCCCCATGGTGTTCCAGACGGTAATCATGGTTATCAACATATCACCATGTCTCTGACCACTCTAGATCGCATCGACGCAGAAACATACGTTCAAGCCGCATTGTATGCATGCAAAGGTATCTGGCAGGGCTGCACGCGCATCACCTCGACGCTGGGGCCAGTTGATGTTTTGGTCTGATCTCTTCAACATGACTGCATACATATCATAGCTATAAAGGAAAGCGATTCTCGTACTACTTTATCGACATATTTCGTTTGTTTTCTTTT